CTCATTAGTGTTCAAGGCCTCAAACCTGTTCCTGAGATGATTCTGAAATTCAGGTGGTATGAAATCAAAGTCATATTTTATATGGAGATACAGCAAGAATATTTTTATGGTTAATGGTGGAATCATAACCTAGACCAAATTTTATTTCCTTAAACATATAAACTTTTAAATGTAGACGGAGAAGTGAACTAATTGCTAATCATAAGTATATAAGGATAACAAATAAGGGTTTTCTCTCATCCTTTCTTTATCTTAGAAGAACAACATTGGAAATTAATAGGATTTTTTTAATTATAGAAGGAAATGATAATTTTGTGTCATGTAATATTAATGTCATGCATGTGAATATTTTGTGTGGGTTGGTTGTTCTTTGGAAAAAGTTAATTTATATGGATTCGTGTTTTTTAATTCTAAATAATACACTATTTTATTATGCAAGTAATTTCCTTGGAAAGGTTTTAGATTTTTTATTTTGAAATCTTATGTTTGTAAGCATCTGATGTATGTACTACTTGTACTTAATAACCAACTCCTACTAAACCTATTTATATTCATAATTCTAGGTACACACAATAATTAACAATAACAAACAGATGCGACTTTGTATATACATGCAAACATTATTATTATTATATTTCTGAGTTAAAGATAGTACATCTGGAAGTATGTATTTATTATTTTTTATGAATATAAAGATACTGAAAAGTAAGCAACAAAGTTTTAAATGAAAACCCAGAGAAATGAAGTAAGTCTTCATGAAAAAATTCCAAAAATAATGAGTATATATTTTCTTTCATCCTTTATTTTTCCTATACTGAGACCAGTTACAAATATCTGACTTCTGTGCAACCTGGTTAGACAAACATTTGACCAAGTGAGGTTACCTAAGAACACTGATCCAATTTATGTACAAATGTAGCATAAAACCAAGTTTCGGCATAGAAAATGTATTTATAATCTGAGAACTACTTTTATTATAGAAGTATATGACATTCTGTTATTAATTAATTAATTATACACAACCACCCCCTAGCTTGTCTTTTGTAAGATATTTCTAAATTTCAACTAAAAATTTAAACTATATATGACTGAACGTTATTTTTGCATTTATTTACAATCTTTTATCATTTCTTTCTTTTTTCCCCTCTCATAGACTACTGCCATGATCAATATTAGTATAATTGATGATGCTGAATTTGAACTCATGGAGATGTTCAATATTTCCCTGATCAGAGTAACTGGAGGTGGGAGACTTGGTGATGATATTGTGGTAACTGTTGTTATTCCACAAAATGATTCTCCATTTGGAGTGTTTGGCTTTGAAGAAAAGACTGTAAGTTAATGCTATTAGAGGCTATGTTTTAGTAGATTTATTCCCATGTGTTTTGTGTATGCAAGCCTATTTAACTGTGTTTTATTTACTATTACCCTTAACATAAGATTGTCTCCCAAAGTGACTTTTGAGTATTATAATGAATTAGCTGCTATAGATTATAACATAGAAAACCCAACTGGGCTATTCTCCACTGTCCTATAAGGTCTCTAGTAGTAGGAATTGAATCAGTGATACACCATTGCGACAACAACAGTGATTTAGGAACAGATATTAATCCTTCTTTAACCCATGTAAATAGTCTGATAGTAATGAGAGCTCTTTGACAGGGGAACAAGTTTATATTTAGTGTAATGGACTAAGATGTATATAAAGTACTCATGCATTCTATTTTTTGGGGAACCCTGGTGGCACAAAGGTTAAAGTGTTTGGCTGCTAACCAAAACATTGGCTGTTACTTGTGGGGAGAAAGATGTGGCATCTACTTCTGTAAAGTTTACTTCTCATACAGTAATGGTCTTATACAATACTTATCCTTGTGGGACTGAGCTAGTTCAGCATAACTGTCTCCAGTCTCCCCTCCCCCCTCAAGTTAGGTAATAATTTACAAAGTTTTTGCTTCCATGTGTTGCATAGTATTCCATTGTGTGTATGTACCATAATTTCTCCATCCATTTGTTTGTGGTTGGACATTTGGGCTGTTACCATATAATTGCAATGGTGAATAATGCTGCTACGAACATTGGTGTAAAAATCTCAGTTTATGCCTCAGTTCTCATACTCTCAGGGTATATTTCAAGTAGTGGAATAGTTGGGTCATATGGAATTTCTGTGTTCAGCTTTTTTGAGGAAGCACCACACTGCCTTTCAGAGTGGTTGTACCATTTTAAAATCCCACCAACAATGTAGAGGAGTTCCTATCTGACCACATCCTCTCCAATATTTGTTACTTGCTGTCCTGTTAAACTTTGCCACTGCTTCTGGAGGGAGATGGTATCTCATTGTGGTCTTGATTTGAATCTCTTTTATTGCCAGTGTTTTAGAGCATTTCTTCACGTCTCTGTTGGCCATCCAAATATCTTCCTCTGTGAAAATTCTTTTCCATGTCTTTTGCCCATTTTTGTAATTGGTTTATCAGTCTTTTTCTTGTGGAGGTCGAGGAGCATTCTGTAATTTCCGTTAGGAGACTCTTGTCTGAGATGGTATTACTCAATGTCTGTTCTCAGAAGGTGGGTTTTCTTTTCACCATGTTGCAAATAGTTTTTGATGCACTCAGGGATTTAATCTTTAGAAGGTCTCATTCATCAATTTTGTCCTCACCAGATAGACTAGCACTTCTAAGCTTGATCCCAGTTCATCTCTTATGAACTTTATGGCTTTGGGCTTTACTCCCAGATCACTGATCCACCCTGAGGTCGTTTTTGTGTATGATGTGAGACTTAGATCCTGTTTTCAGCTTTCTGTGGGTGGAAGTCCTGTTTTGTTAGCACCATTTGTTGAAGAGGTTATCATTTGCCCATTTGATAGCTTTGATTTCCTTGTCAAATATCAGTGGACCATAGATAGTTGGGTCTATTTCTGGTTCTCAATTCTGTTCCATTGGTCTTTGTGCCTGTCATTGTACCAGTCCTGTCTTGGTTACTACTGCTGTGTGTAGGTTCTAAGGCCAGGAAGTGCTATGCCTCCCACCTCATTTTTGTGTCTCAGAAGTGTTTTGCTTATTCAGGGGCTCTTGCTTCTCCAAATAAATTTTATAATTTCCCTTACAATCTCCTTAAAAAATTAATTTGGTATCTGGATTCAGATTGCATTGAACATGTAGATTGCTTTTGGTAGGATTGTAATTTTCACATTATTGAGTCTTCCTATCCATGAACAGGACACATTTTTCCATTTCTTTAGGTCTTTTTTTGTGTCTTGCAGAAATGCTCTGTAGGGTTTTTTTTTGTATAGGGCTTTTGTATCGCTAGTTGTGTTTACTCCCAAGTATCTCAATTTGTGATTAGCAATTGTAAATGCTATTGCTTTCCTTCTCTGAATTCTCTTTGTTACTGTGGAGGAATCCACTGATTTTTGGATATTGATCTTATATCCTGCCACTGTACTAAATTAACCTCCTAACTCTAACAGTTTTTTTGCTTACTCTATAAGAAGGAATGCCATCCACTTCCTAAACGACATGCCTCTGGAAATTCCATGAATTTTGATAAATGATGATAGTTATAGAAAGACTTCAGGCCTTTTGTTCATAGGGTCACTATAAGTTGTGCTCGGCTCAACAGCAATCAACAACAGCAACAACATATTGTGAATATCTCTTAAGCAACACTAAAAGTCTGAAAATAAAAAAAATGTTTAAAGAAGAAAACAAAAAAATATTTTACTACTACTGTCCTGAAAATTTTTTCATTTTCTAGCTGCTGTAGAAGGACACTCAGGATTGACTGTGCTACCACACAGTGTGGTACCATCAGTCGTGAAATCAAGAGATGTATTGCTTTTGACCAGTCCACTTTCAGGGACCTTTCCAAAATACTAAAGATCAGTGATGTCAGTTTGAAGACTAAGGTGCACCTAATTCATGCTGTAGTGTTTTCAGTCACTTGCTATGACTCAGAGAGCTGGTTAATGAATAAGGATGACAGAAGAAGAGTGGGTGCCTTTGAGTTGTCATGTTGGAAAAAGTGCTGAATATACCATGGACTGTGAAGTGAACAAACAGATATGCCTTGAAAAAAATGCAGTCAGATTGCTCCTTGGAGACAACGATGGTGACACTTCATCTCATACTATGAACATGCTGCTAGAAGAAGGAAAGGGATATCATGCTTGGAAAGGTATAAGGTCAATGAAAGAGAAGGAGGACCCCAGTGAGACTGATATGGTAACTGTTGCAGTGGGATCTGGAATATCAGAGATGATGAGGATGGCATAGGATAGGATAGGATAGGATAGGATTCAGGTCTGTTGTTCAGAAGGTCACTATGAGTTGTACTGTACTTGATGGCACCTAACAACAACCATTCACCTCAAAGGGAGCTCTGATGACCTGAAAGGTAAGGAGTTGCACTACCAGTCCCAAGGCATGTAGTTTGAATCCACCAGCTGCTCTATGGAAGAAAGAGGAGCAGTCTTCTTTCATGAAATTTACGGCCTCCGAAAACTTGCTGGAGGCTCATTTATGAGTCACTTATAACTCAATAATACATAACAACATTAAGCTTCCAAAATTAGACAAAAAGTTGACAAAATTTTATAATTATTTCCATTTAATTTTGCCACTTATCTGGACTTGACCATAGCACAATTTGTTTATAAACCTTTTTTCTCACTGGTAGGAAAAACCAAGTTTAATAATTACTATTCACATGGCAGCACCATGATAGATGGAGAAGAGATTGAGGTTGTTAACAATTTCATCTTACTCAGATACATAATCAACACTCTTGGCACCCACAGTTAGAAAATTAAAGAACAAATTGCATTAGGAAATCTGCTGTCAGGGACCTCTCCTGAGTAAGAAAAAGATACACCTTTCTATGAAGATGGCGTCAAAAGTGAAGAAGGAAGCCCCTGCCCCTCCCAAAACTGAATCCAAAGCAAAGGCATTAAAGGCCAAGAAGGCAGTCCTGAAGGGTATCCACAGCCAAAAAAAAAAAAAAGAAGATATGCACATCACCCACCTTCCAGTGGCCTAAGACTCTGAGACTTTCAAGGCAGCCCAAATACCCCCAGAAGAGCGCCCCCAGGAGAAACAAGTTTGACCACTATTCCATCATCAAATTTCCCCTGACCACGGAGTCAGCCATGAAGAAGAGAGAAGATAACAACACACTTGTGTTCATTGTGGATGTCAAGGCCAACAAGCACCAAATTAAACAAGCTGTAAAGCAGCTCTGTGACATTGATGTGGCTAAGGTCAACACTTTGATTAGGCCTGATGGAGAGAACAAGGCCTATGTTCGACTTGTTCCTCACTATGATGCTTTGGATGTTGCCAACAAAATTGGGATCATCAAATATAAATTTTTCTCACCAAAAACGAAAAGAAAGAAAAAAAAGCCTGAATCAGGCCATGGTCTTTGCAATTACTTGGTATTCATCAGAGAGCTAGACAATGGCTAAGGATAACATAAGAAGAATTGATACTTTTCCATTGTGCTGGAGAATAGTGTTGAACATACCATGTGTAAACCACCAGCAGAACAAACAGGTCTGTCCTGGATACTTTGGGCATGTTGCCAAAAGAGATCAGTCCTTGGAGAAGGACATCATACTTAGAAGGGTGGAGGGCCAGGCCAGGAGAAGGAGACCTTGGATGTGGCGGATTGACATAACTGGGAGTATTATATTAGAGATAGTGAGATTGGCTTAGGATAGGGCAGGATTCCGAGTAATTATGCATTAGGGTTTCCATGAGTTACAGGTGACTCGTCACCACATAACAACAATTCATAAATAATTTTGTTCATTTTTAATTTAATGCTTTAAACCTCAACTTCACATTTTGACATATAGCACCAAAATAAGATTTAGTTTAGTCAATCCTTCTTACATTCTTCTCATAAGCCTTGTTGTGAGGAGTAAATGAGATAAGATAATGTGAAGCATTTGTAATTGGGTTTCAGTAGAAAAGTTTAGCTGACACAGTGCCCAAAGCATATGACTACTAACTCAAAGATTGGTAGTCTAAACCATCACTTCGAGTGGTAAAAAGATGAGACAATCTTTACATAAAGATATACAAGTTTGGAAATCTTATGGCACATCTACTCTGTCACAGGAGGTGGCAGTGAGTAGGATTCCCCTGCAGATTTTGGTGACTGCTGGCTCAGAGGCTGAAGGGTCATAGTACATTGTGAGAGTGCAGGGTCACAATGGCTGGCTTTAGAGGCCACTGAGTCCAGAGTTGACAAGTAGAGCATGCCACTGGTTGATTTCTAGAGGCCATGAGACAGAGAGATAAATATAGCTGGAGCAAAAAGCACACCTTTTCAGGT